CCTTAACATTTTTCTTTTTACTTTGTTCCGATCTCATTCATTCTCCATGGGTTCTTGCGGATGTTAAATGAGTTGACACACATAAATCATTCAGAAGAGTGCCTGGTGCTCAGCTGGAGGAAATGATACTAAGAGGGGAGTACAGGAGGAGAAGGAAGAGGGTTCTTTTCTTCAGCAGGATAAGTTCCTTCTTTCTGAATCTCTCTCAATTTAACTCATTTCCATAGCTTTATTCTTACTTCTCTTTGTGTGGCTTTCTCTAGTCTGTGGACCATGCCTCACTGCATTTTCAGCTGTTTTATTCCAGTTCTTTTTACTCCTAATGCAGTTTCCTCTCTGTATTTATCTCTCTTCCATTTCTTTTTTGAGTATCACAGGCTTATTTTTCATACCCTCATGTGGGTTTATAAACTTGGGTCTGCATTTTTATAACCCAAAGAGAGCTCTTTTTCTTTTTCTTTTATTTTTTAAGAGAATGACCACATTATCTCTAATTTCTATGAGACAGTGGAGAACTATTTTTTAAAAAACTGTAATTTTTCTATGTTTTTGGAAGGTACTACCTTTGGAGACCCATCTTCTCCCACTGTCTTTATGTTCTTTACATATTGAGGCTCAAGTCCCAGGCTCAATCTTCTCCTAATATTATTTCTCATATTATTTTTCTTTACAGGATCCACAGTGAGAGAAAACTGGGGCACTCTGAAGCCTGAACTTTAATTCATTTTCTTGAACGTCTAGTCACCATTATTTTTGCTGGCCTGGGAGTATGTGTTCCCTTGAAGTGTACAGAGTAGGCTGTTGTGACTCTTTTATACATGATAGGCTCCTTAAATTCTATTAACTGAACCCCTTTCCCCCTACACACAGACACACAGACATACATACACAACTAGCTGTTTCACAGGTGATGAGGGGTGTGTCACCCTCAGCTCCAGTTACTGCCCTCATTTCACGGTCTGTTTCTTAAATGCAGTCTCTATGAGGTATCCTGTGCCCTGTCCACATCCTCTGATCGCATCTCTTTAATTAAAGGCTACTGGGTTCACCTTTGTAAAGTAAGACAAGATCTTTTCATGAGATCTGTTTTTTCCTTTTTTTTTTTTTTAGGTTTTTGAGACAGGGTCTTGCTACGTAGTTTAAGCTGCCTAGAGCTATCTATGTAGCCCAGGCTGTCCCCAAACTCATGGCAATCATCCTGCCTCAGCCTCTGGAGTGCTGGGATTATAGGCATGTGCCACCATACCCAGCATGCAATCTGTTTCTTACTCAAGGTCAGAGGAGGTTTGTGTCCTTCCTCAAATTATACGTTGTTTTCACTATATTCCACAGAGTCTGGAACATTAACTAGACTTTTTGATTGCAATGACCCAAGTAATAAAAACCTAGTCTGAAGTAACAAAAGGACAGAAGAATAGAAGGACAGAAGGAAAAGAAATAGAAAAAAGAACATACTGGCTCTTAAAATAGAGCAGTCTACAATGCCGATGTGATGGCTTCAGGCATAGCTGTATCGGGGAGTTTAGTATATTGTCCTTGAACCTGGTCACTAGCTCCATTTCTTGGCTCACTTCATTTACATACCATTTCTCTCTCAGAGCCTCTTCCTACAGGACAACAAAAGGGCCACTGTGGGCTCCAAGGCCACATTATATTGACAACTTCTCAATCTGGAGAAACACTTTCCTCAAAGGCCTGGTAAAAGTCTCAGGAAGGAATTCAGGCAGCCTGGCTTGGACCACATGCCTGTCTCCAGATCAAGTATGATAGCTGGAGGTTGGAGAGTTAGCAAGAAGCCCCTTGGACACACAACTGCCTGTGGAGGGAGGGAGGGAAGGCAGGCTCAGCCCTCGTTAAACATGGTCTGAGCAGGGTTCACAATACAGTGTGGTAGGGCTCATTCCCCATACAGAAGTGTACCAGGCAGACCAAAAAAAAAAAAAAAATCAAGCCTATGCTAGGACACAAAGCTTGTTCCATGTTGTTTGGGAGCTATTTTGGGGGGCTCCACTGACATTTGTTTCTGTTTTTTATTCTTTGCTGCTTTCATTGAGTTTCTCCAAAAGCTTTTGTCTGGCCAGCTTTAGCCAGAAGACCCCTGATTCTTATTTTTTACTCCAACAATACTAAGGGCTTGATGGTTTTCAAGTAAGGCTTTCAAGCCTTGGTAATCACCTCACAGTTTCCTGTGAGGTCTACAGGAGATTAGAGTAAAAGAACACAGTTATTTCCATTTTTTAACTCAGAAACTCTGACAGTGTTAGGGGCTTGCCAGGGGCTAAATCAAGTGGCTGAGAGAACTGGCCCTAGCTCCAGATTCTGGCTCCCGGAGAAGAGTTCTGGACTCTCCACAACTGACCGGTCTTGGGCTCCCTTCTGGGTCACCCTTCCAAGCCACAGCAGACTGAACAGCATTCGCGCAGCAAGCCTTACAAGGTCGAGCCAGATACATAAAGGAGTCTGTTAGATTGGACAGACGGATGGATGGAGATGTACACGCGCACTTCTGCTTAATGGCACCTTTATGATTTTTATGCAGTAATACTGAGCAAGAGATAATGGAGTGTCACTCTGGAGCAACCTTCCAAGCCTTAAGCAAATCCCTAAATGGATACATGGACACTGTCATGATAAGCACATAGATTGAGGATGACAGACCCATAAGTGCTTTTATGGAACGTTGTTTAATTATCCCCAAGACAATTTTCCCCCAAGTGCTGGGAGATCAAACCCAAAGCCTGTGCATAGCAGCTAAGGAAGCCCTGTACTGCTGAGCCACGCCCCCGAGCCATGTCCCAATTATGCTGCTTGCGATGAAATCTTGCTTAGAGAATCCTTTTCCCGTCATACTGAGCATAAAGTTAAACGCCAGGCCATCCCATGTCTGAATTACACATATTTTAAATAATGGGTTCCACCCTCTCGCAGGCCTGAGAAGCACTCCACACAAACGCTAAGCAAGGCCGTGCGGACCCAGCGCTGGGGCTGGGAGTGCGCACGTCCTCAGTTGCTCCGTCCCCTTTCCACGATCTCTGTGCTCATGGTTCTCCTCAAGCTGCTGTCATCTCCATTCCCTTCCCTCCCTCCTCCTGCCAGGCCAGTTCCCTGACCACTCTGCATTTTCCGCTTGGTCTCAAGATGAAAAAATGTTAATTGAGGGTAGGGCTCTCACATCAAAACTGGGAATACTCCACTGCATAGAAAGATCATTTCTTGGAATTATTCATTTAAATATTTACAAGAAACAATTATCAAGTGCCCGAGACTGATTCACAAATGTAATTAATGAGAGAATTGCTGTTTCCATTTTCCCGTTTGTTTTAATTCTACTGTATAAACTTTTTGGTTGGCACGACTTCAGCAAAATTCCACCCAGTGATGAAAGGAGGTAAAGATTCCTAAAGCAGAAATGTTATTGCAAGTTAACCTTCCAGGGTGTACTGCAAACCCAACTCAGACACAATCATTATACAACGCGAAAACCATCCTTACAGAACACAAAGGACACAATTAGCGCGGCTGCCAACGCCTCATAATTTTGGACAGTCAGGAAGAAGTGTTTCTGCTCCCTAATTGATGTGTCCTTTGCTGCCTGTGGGATGAAATACGCAACTGAAAATGCCCTTGTTGTCCCAGAATGGGGAAGGCATAATGACCTCTGGCTTGCTGGATTGTTCTGTAACATCTGAAGGTTGGCAAAAATAAATAAACAAACCAAATAGCTCTTGTCTGGTTTTTCTAGTCAACTTTCATTACTCTAAGGATGGATGCAGCAAGATAAATGGTTCTTTTTTTCTTCAGTCCTGAAAGGGACCCAAGTTTTCCTGCTGCCTTTTATGTTTCAGCTCTGAGGGCCACGGCCTATTCTTACTCACCCGCTGGAAAAGATGTGTCTGCCATGCCAGTTTGATGTTTTGTGCTCAGCCCCCAGAGTCCCACTTTAAATTGCTCTCTTCCACTTAAGGAGACATTGCATTTTTCCTTTAATTTAAAAAATGTCCTAAATGTAGAACGACAACACAAGGACCACTAGGCTGCCTGACATAAGTTCCATGCGTGTGGCGCTCTTTAGGCTGCACAAGCAGACAAGGTCAGCTTGGCTAAACGGACAGCTGCCAAGCGGCCACTCTGGGGAAGAGTTTTTAGTCGTACATCTGGACAAGCCAAAGTCAGATCCCAAATCTAAAGCAAGAGCAACAAGGACTTGGTCTTAAAATGGCCCTTGGAATCTAACTTGTTAAGCAAATTCAAACTGGGCAGTTGTCCGTGCTGACCTAATGGAAAGTCCTAGAAGAAAATATCTGACCGAGTGAGCCTGCCCAGGCCAAGACCTTCTGGATATCTTAACACCATCCCTGGCTGGGGCTGGGAAATGGCCTCTTCTCCCCACTGTTTCCCCCACTGGCGTCCGATTATTCAGGCTTTTTTTTAGTGACATACAGGGTGAAAATGCACATGGTCCACTCAGAGAATGTTCATTTGTCACAAGCCCTCCCTAGGAATGTGATACAAAATTAAGACCCAAACATGCATCTATGAGTGGTTACTAGAGGGAAAGCACAGATGATAGAAATCTGTAGGACTCTCCTGTTTTAACCACTAAGTTGTACAATAAATATGTGGAGTTAGCCTGAGTGGACTAACCCGAAAAGAGGTCAGGGAAGATTCCAGGCCAGCCAAGAATGCTAAATAACACACCAACAGAATGACTGGTCATCACTCATGGGCGGGCTCCAACAGTCCAACCAAACCTAATCCTGACAGTCATCCCATGGGAGAAGCATTTTGGCAATTAAAAATAAAAGGTTCCCTAAGGATTACATAGAAGACGAGGGAAAATCAACTCCATTCAGCCACAAGAAGAAATCTCTCTTACTCACTAACTTAAAATCTGTTTATTATAGAAAAGGGGGAAAAGCAAATATACCATCTACATCAGACAACAACTGGTAAATGATACCGTTACCCTGACCCAAAAATTAAATAAAAAGAATACTGACCCTCCACTTCTCAGATGAGATGGTAAGGATGTTCCTCTCAGTACTTCCTGCTCTTGGACTTCTCTGAAGCCTCCATCGTAAGTTAGCTGAAGCGGGTGGCTCTTTAAATGGCCAATGGCATTGGATTCTGTTAAACAAATCCCATTTGTTTTTACTGCTGAATCCCCCATCATAACTGTTTCTTTGGATTTCACTGTCTTCTTCACTGTAATAATCAAGGAAATGTTTTGTCAAAGCATTTTTTATTTTAAGAATTACTACTGTTCAATATTTTCAATCTAAGTATTTATATAATTTAAAAATACATTATGATCGAGAGTTTTATTGAGTTTTATGGCCAAAGCCTTTCTGAACATAAACAAGACTGTATCACAATTTTAGAGGTAAGATGAACAGGATCGTGATTCTATCAAGCACTGTCCTAGGCACCTGGGTGCATTAGTGACAAAACAGAAATCCCTGACCTCATGAGGTTTATGTCCCAATAGCTGTAAACAGACAATAAGCAGGTATGCAATGAGGCAGCACATGATCTGTTTTAAGATAGTAAGCGTCACAAATAAAAGAAATAGTAGGGCCTGGGAGATAGCTCAGTGGCACAAGCACCTGCCTGGCAAGCGCAAGGTCTTGAGTTCAACTCCTGGTACCAAAAAAAAAAAAAAAAAAAAAAGAAAAAAGAAAGTAGAAAAATGGGGAAGGGTAAAAGGGGTTGGGGCTGGGATCAGCGGAAGACAGCACTTTTAAACAGGGCGGCCAGGCACAGCAAGGAGCAGCCCCCAGTGCCATCAGAGGAGGGGGAGAGTGTTTTGAGCAGGAGCCCAGCTGGCACAGAGGTGCCTGGCTGCACGAGGAGCAGTACGGGTGGAGGGCGAGGGAGGGTGCCACCCGACAGGTGGGGCACGGGGCGAGGAGGCGCAGAGAGTCTGTCATGCCTTGGACCGGGGAAGGCGTGGCCACATTTACAAAAAAGAGTAAGACAGATTTCTAAGAAGATATCCTGCCTCGGAAATGAAGCATGTATTGTATTTATGAATGCAGATTCTCAGACTTACAACTGTCATTAGGAATACACTATATAATATGTTATATATTGTAGAGAATATGCTGTATCATACGCTGTATTAGGTATATGCAAATGTTATTAGAAATACTACCTATGCTACTCCTATGCTGTAGTCTGCAATAAAACACGGGAAAAGTGAGTAAATCTCCCATAGTATGGCGGGGGGCTAGGGTGAAAGGAGCTTTGTATAGGAAAAGCATTTTGTAAGTTTTTCCATGACACAAGGGTTTCCTTTCCTGCACTTATTTAAAAACCTGCAAACCAATAAAAACTAACAATAACAAAACCACCTATTTTACCAATCTGACCAATCCCCCCACTTTTTTATTTTATGCAAAAAATAAAACAAAATTGTATAACCAATGAAAGAAATTCCCTATTCACTAACTTAAAATTACACTGTATGTCATTATCTTCAACGTACTTAATATAAGACATAAACCAGAAGGATTCTTACAAAAAAGAAACAGATAACACAAAGCTTTCTTTTCACTGAACTAAGATTAATAGTATAAATGAAACAAATTAGCATATACGTTGAACTATTTTTAAAACAACAGAATATATACTGTAATTTGGGAAAATATTTCAACTTCTCCCTACTCCATATTTTTCTCTATTAACCCTAGAGATTGTCTACTCAAAATTTCATTTTTCAGATGAGCAAGCTGATAACTCAGAACGGTTAAGTGACCTGTCTACAGGCACCAAGCAAGTCGGAGGACAAGAGGGCGCGAGCTTTTCCGCCCCTCCCGCCTGGGGTGCAGGTACGGCCCCGCTCTGTGATGTGGGCAGGTGGCTCGGTTTCTCTCTCACCTTCTTCAGCGCCAGGGGATGCGGTGCAAATTAAAGGATGTGGCCTAGCACCGTGACTTCGAGCTATTGCTACTGTTATTACTGGAACCCAAGCGTTCTGACTTCCGGTCTGTGGTGTCTCCCTAGCACTCGGCTACCTTAAATAACTCTGCGACAAAGGCACACATTCTGCTTTTGATTATGAAGCACTTTTAGCCCGTCACTATATTTCACCATTTCTTTCTTTCATTCAAGCCAGACATATTTATTAAGTATCCGCTGTGATGTGCTGGGTGCTGTCCCACACAGGAGTGATTTCAGGTAAAGGACAGGTCTCGACCATTACAGGTTCTGGAGGGGAAACAGAAATGCATGTACAGGGAGAGATGCTGAGCTACTTTTTCCTTACTACTTTTTCCTAATAGGAGCGAGCTTGTCAGTTGTCACTGCAGTAGATGACTGGTAATGCTGGAGCACACTCGAACCCGAAGGACGTCCACAATTAAACTGAATATGCTCTGCGTAGCCCTGGCAAACATGTGCAGGGCACCGCACTGATTCTGCCGCGGGTCGTGGGTAAACTCGCAAAGGCCACCGTTGCATGTCACAGACAACTGCCACACAGCCCAAACTGTTCACAACTGCCACGCAGCCCAAACTGTTCACAGCTCTTGGACCACAAAGAAAGAAAACTACTTTTCCTTCCCAAATTGCTCATGCTAGTAGGGCAGAGAGAGGCCGACATGAAACGAGGTTAATGCAGGGCAATGCGGCACCAACCAGGAAATGAGAAGGCACGAAGTGGGCAAGGCTTGGAAGTTGGGAGGTGGTCTGGGAAGATCTGTGGAGGAGGCAGAGCCTGAGGAACATCTGGAAGGGTGAGCAGAAGGCCAACAGTTTGAAGAAAAAGGAGCCAAAGTTTGGAGACCAAGCCAACTCCATGTGCATGCGACCGCACAGGAAGGCCAGCCCAATGACTGGCTTCATGCTCTGCTGCTGGCATCCTGAAATGCCGAGTTTGATTTGCTTCCTGAGCTCTTGCATTCAATGGGATGCACAGAACATGACCACTGTTCATGGTTCATGGGCTACAAGGTAAGGCAGCTCCAGGGGTTCAGGCCTCTTGTGCGGACCCTGGCAGGGTGAGGATGGATGTAAGGAGTGCAACACAGGGAAGAGGCAAGCGGGGACACAGCTTGGCCATGCTGGGACAGGAGAATGGAGACTCAAGAGGTCTTCAGGTGGCCCTGGAGGGCTTGGCGACAGAAAGTCTGACAGGGACCATAAGAAGGTGGCATCTGTGCTGAGTCTGCCTCCAGCAACAAGGGAGGCAGCAGCAGCAGCGCCTGCCTATGCAGCTGTAAAAGCCTCTGAGTTCAAGGTGATGACCTTCTGGCCCCGTGGAGGCGACAACACACTTCTCGTCCCCTTTTCTCTTCTGAAACCAGCAATTCCAAACCTGCCACCACAAGCTGGCTGCAGGGTGGTGTCACCCACCAGCGACCTCACACCAGGGGAGAGGAAAGGTGCACCCCCAGTCTCCGGGCACAGTTGGCTTTCAGGTCTCAGCGACCCAGCAAAGTCTATCTTCTCTATACAAAAGACAGCCTCAGAAATGAAGCCAAGCAGCTCTCAAACAAATGATGCTGCTTCCAAGGTAGAGAACACAGGGAGACTTTTAACAGAATTGCCACGTGCTTAGAAGGGTTACATGTTAGTGCATTATTTCCTGAGTGCTGACACAAGCTGCTCGATGACAGCGGACAAAAGCACTGCACAGATGCACCTTCGATGTACATGGGAGGCAGTGAGGTTCTCGTGCTGTGTGGGGAAAGGACTGTCATTGCTAATGGATTGATTACTGATGGTAATCAGTAATCGGCTTATGATCCCCAGCTGAACTGAGCGAACGTGGTGCTGGGTGTGGGAGGCTCGCCTGAGGATTGTTACCATCAGCTGAGAGGCAGAATTGGAAAGGGATAATGAATTTCTCCTGCTGGGTTTAGTTACGTTCTTTGTTCTAATAAAAGGTGATTGAGATGAGTGATCGGGGCCGCCGCAGTCCCCTGATCCCTGATTTTTAGCTCTCTTGTTTCTCTTGTCTCTTTTACCTTTTCTTATTCATGCGCAGGCACCTCGCTCTCAGGACCTGTCACTAGAGTTAATACCAACAGTGCTGGGCAACAAGGATGCCACTGCCACGCAAACGAGGGCCAGGTCACCCGACAGGGCAGGGGCTAAGCCATGGGAGCCCTGAGGACAAGAACAGCCGCAAACACCCACCGGCCCCGTCACCTTCCCGTGCACCGGGACACGTCAGCAAGTGGTGGGGTTTTCAAATGTAGCTACCGAGAGTAGAACGTGTTATGGAACATTAAAGCTCAGAAGCAAGAACGTCCTGCTCGTGAGAAGTAACTCTGGGCTCCAGAGCCTGTGCTTCTCTTCCTGGCAAGCACTCTGCTCCTGTAATTACCAATCTTTCCTGATCCAATGCTTTGACACAGGACTCCAGCAGGTGAGTCTCCTGTGCAGCCACAGGTGAGATCCACTGGTGAGCACAGCAGAACTGGTGCTGTCTCCGCCTGGCTTACACTCCGCCCTGGCTCTTCACTGCAGCGAGATAAAGCCCACCCCCCCACTCCAAGGCAGCCCTCGGCCCAGTTCGTGCGCGCTGCTTGTCTTTCTCCTTGCTTCTCCTCCAGTGTGCTGCGCTGTCTGCAGATGTCTTCATGCTGTTTCCTAATTCTTCAACTCTGATGTCACCTCCTCGAAGAGATCTTCCAGGGACCCTGCCATGGCCCCGCTGTCTTACCTTCTTGTCTCTGTGACACAATACTTGACACTCACAGGTTAGAGGAGAAAAGGTTTATCTTGGTGCACAGCCTGTAGAGGTTTCCGTTCCTAGTTGGCTGGCTCCAACGCAGGGTGGCATGGTGGAGGGGTGAGGCAGAGGAGAAACAGTCCAGGGCACAGGTAGCAGGAAGCAGAGAGAGAGATCAAGGGAAGCAGGAGGGCAACAGACCCTTCTGGGCCACGCCCAGTGGCCCACCTCTTCCAGCCAGGCTTCACCTCCCAACATCACATTTAGCTATAAACTCTTCAGCGGGTGAATCCAGTGAGAAGTATCATGTCCCCATGATCCGAACTCTCAAAAGCCCCTCTTAGGAGCACAGGTGGCATTTGGGGGGGCATCAAGCTATAAACCATAACACACTTTCTACCTCATTTTCTTGTCTTACAGCATCCATTAGAACTCTACTGTCTATTTGTTTGTTCTCTGCCCTAGACTGAAGGCTCTTGGGGCTGAGCCTCTGTTGGCCCTGAATGGTGCCTGGCACTTGGTAGGGGCTCAGTATGACTATGTCAGAACAGAGACAAACTGGGACATCAAGGTAAAATTGCCTAACAATACACCTGGTTACTGCATCACGGTGTAACACACATACATACACACACTGTACTACTCTCTCCTTCCTTTCTCCTTATTCTACTTCACTGGTATCAGGAATCAAACAAAAATGACTGCAGCAAGCAGGCAGAGGATGAAGCGCAGATCAAGTTCCAGGGTACGGGACGGATTCCCTGGGGCTCTACTCATCCCCTCACGGACGAGCTCGTGGTGTTGCCAGATCTGATTTTTCACAAACAGCCATAAATCTCCTTTTAAAAGATTTGCAGCTAACTAAAAGAAAATCCCAGTCTGGCAAACATAGGAGCTGTTCAGGTGGAGGCTCGTACCCACTGGGCTCCATCTTTAGGAGGCTCGTACCCACTGGGCTCCACCACAGCCTCTGGTGCTGGGGACTGTGCACCGGGCCCCTTGCTGTCCCTGCTGTCTGAGGGAGTCACGACTGTCAGATCCTGGTAAGGCCGTTACCAACTTCTCTGACCACACGTGACACGAATGGGTTTATCACATGCTCCTGCACACACACAACTGAACTGAAGTTGCTTGAAGCAATAGCCACCTTTATTATAACACAACATCTCCCGATATTTTCCATTATTTCTAGTCTATGTCATTTAAAAAATGATAATGTGATCCCCCAAATTGATTGTTATTCCACTAATAGATCCCTTCCTGCAGTTTGGAAATCCCTTGGCCTGCCTGGATGGGGGATGAGTGAGGTCTGTAACCCCCCTGCTCCAGGTCTGGGAACCTGCTGGCATTTCTGTGGCAGGAAGAGAAGTTATATTCAAGCTTTGCTTAGGTATTCAGCAAGGATCAGAAAGGTATTAAAGCCTATGCTCAGTGTACATTAGAAGAGTCTTACAAGTCTCATTAATTTCTAATGAAATTAACAACTTTGTGAACTCTGACTTAAAAATTATTTGTGATATAGGGGAACCATCCATTTGGAAACACTTCTAATATTTTTTTCTACCAAGTAATGTTTTTAAAAACTGTGATATTTAGATATTCCTCCCTCTCTGTCTCTGTCTCTCTCTCTCTCTGCTGGGGACTGAATGCAGGGTCTCTCCTGCTAGGCAAGTGCTCTGCTGCTGAGCTTGCTCCCTAGTCACAGATCTCTTTATGAACACCTAGAAAACTTGATGAACCAAGTTTCCTTAGCCAGGTTTGCCCAATATTAACTAAATCTCAGCTTATATAAAAATCATCTTGAGACAGGAAGGTTCATATAAAAAGAGATTTTGTACAAAAATTCAAACAGCATGCCTGTCCCCAGGGTTGAAAGGACATTTCATGGCCTTACGCTCGGCAGGAGGGAGGGATCTGTCCGGCAGAAGAGCCCCCTGGGAGGCTGCCCTGAATAAGCGCGCCCGGGCACTGCTTATTCTTCTAATCTTCGCGGGGTCCACAGGAGGCTGCGGGAAGGAAAGGCAGGGATCCTCCTCTGCGGTGGGCGATGGCGGAGCTTTCGGTTTCTGGAAAGAGATGTTTTAAATGATTGGCATGAGTTTTGTTTTTGTCTCAGATAAAATGTGCTACCCTGGAGCCGGCCCCAGTCCCTCCAGAAGAGCACAGAGGGTTTCTGCTTGGCTCCTTCTTGGCTCCCACATATGGACACGTGCATGCGGACCGTTTTACAATGATTTCTGTCAATTACATTATTTTAACTGTTCTGCTATACTGTTTAGTACATTTGAAAAAAGAGATATTATATATATGAGACTACAAAAGTAAGTATAATATATTCAATATGCTTTGAAAAGTTCTGAGTTCAACTTAGCTCAGAAATCATTTTTTGAACACATATTATATGCCAAGATATAGTGGGCTATAAGTAATACCTTTATATATACTGGACTCTACCAAACTATTTTTTACTATAAACTTTAAGATAATTTCAGTTAAAAAGTCATAAGACATAAAGCAAGAAGTTGTTTTGGATTTCTGATATAAGAATATTTTATTTTTTAGATTTTAAGAATTATGTGCCAAAAAGTAATTATGTGCCACTATCCTTTAGAACAATAACATTTCTCACAAAATTCCAATCTCTTAAAGACTAATCCAGGCTGGTCTTGAACTTAACCATGTAGTAGCCCAGACTGGCCCAACCCTCCTCCCTCAGCCTCCCAAGTGCTAGAATCACAGGTATGTGGCACCATGCCTGGCCATTTAAAGACTTAAAAAAAAAAAAAAAAAAAAAGGCTATACCACGTTATGTGACACTAAAGGTTCCCTCTGGCCTGACCCCAAGATGGTCATGGTCTCTGTCCTGGTGCCAGAGCCTCACAGGACACTAAGCTCCTGGTTTCAGCATTATCTAGTGAGCCTGTCCTTCCTGCCTTCCGCTTTAGTACAATTACTTGTCTATGAAAGCACAGCTGTATGGAAGCAGGTACTTTTACTGCTCTAATCAGACAAAATTAAGGTTCCTAAAGTCACTTCCATAATATATGAGATGAATGACTCATTGTCCAATGCATTAAATATCTTTTAAAAATCTAGTATGGAATTCATATAACTTGTGAAAGTGGGTGAGGTCATCTACATATGACGCATCTTCTCAGATACTTATTTTCTCATATACTCTTGTAGAAAACAGGTATCTGTGTTAGCATTCTCCCACCAAGAATTTGCTTATTTCAATAATGATAACATGTTTCAAGATATATTTTATTCCCTTTTGATCACTGGCATCCAGTATTGATTTTATAAACGTGAACAAAAACAATTGGCTTTACAACTTTAGAGAAACATTTCAGAGACACAGCTAGGAAAAAGGTAAATAAAATAATCAGCATAACATAGAAGGAAGAATAAATCTCTTTGGGATCAAACAGCCCTGGAGTGGTATCCACTTACTAGTTAGGTGGACATGGGAAGGCCATTTACTTCTTGAACTTGCCCAGCTATGCCACGGCAACAGCAGACTCTTCCTGCAGGGGCACTCGCATAAACACGCTTCCTGCTATGGGAGCTCCCTTCCCCATGTGTGATTGAATTCGATCCCCTATTCTTTTTTGGGGGGGACAGTGCTGGGGAACAAACCCGGGGTACTCTGAGCCACATCCACATCCCGTTTTATTATTTATTCTGAGACAGGTTCTTGCTAAATTGCCCAGGCAGAAATCAAATTTGCATTCCTTCTGCCCTTAGCCTCCCTCGGTGCTGGGATTACAGGCATGGCCCTGGCCTCTGACACAATCTTTCTGGAATAAAGACTCTCTTTTGGAGGCAGGCACACTCACCTGTCTCCATACTTTATTTTTAGTCTCCCCAGTCTGTTACAGAATAGTCATAAGAATGTGATTTAGGTTGGGAATCTAACAGTGACAGAAAAGCAAAGAGTATAATATGGAGAAGTGAGTGCTTTATATAAAACCATTAAAGACAAAATTCATAAGGATAACCTCAATACTTAAGGTTAAGAGGTTTCTTATCTCAAAATGTCTTTCTCCACAGTGTCTTCAAACTGCAGCAAAGATTGAGAAGTCTACCAAATAATAATGCAGATAAAGCAGGTGGCTCTTTTTACAGATGCCTGAATTGTTATAAATGTTTTTAGTACTAAATGAAAGATCTTATTAAAGGGAAATATGGTCTAGAAAGTTAATTTTTCTCCAAAAGAGAGTAACCAAATTATCTCTGGTAGGCAAGATAAAGCACAATAAGCACTCCTTGGTAAAAGGCATTATTTTCCTATTGCCAATTTATAACTGCATAATGAAATTTTAGTTTCATTTTACTACTGACCTTTAAAAAATTATTTATCCTATTTGAACATGTATCTCACTGGACTATATCAACTATAAAGCAATGCATGTAAAGCAGTTTTAATTATTCAAGGGAACACTACTAACCAAATCGGGAATTTATTTCATGCTGGGTTTTAGAAAATATTCTTCCACTTTATGCAGAAAAATGGCTTTTATGAAGACAATTAGTGAGAAAGTTTTTAAAAAGTCAAATTCAGATACTTTTAGAAATCAGAGAATGCTGCAAGTAAGTTTTAATCTTCACTTGAGAACTTTACCTCCTTTCACAATAGTCTTGGTTACTTTTCTCTTGTTGCTGAGACAAAATACCTGAGGCCCAAAATTAAGGAAGGAAAGGTTTATTTAGCTTACAGTTTGTGCAGCTTTCAGTCCATACTTGGATGGCTCCAAGGCAGAGCAGCACATGGCAGAGGGCAAACGTCCAGGGAAGCAGAAGACAGCAAAGCAACAAGCGCAAAGGGGAGGAGTGGCAGAGAAAACAAGCCTCTTTCCCTCCCTTATATTGTAAGCAGGCTACCCCCACCCAGGGGGCATGTAGCACTCACATAATCTCCATGCCCTCCTACTGTGCAGGCTTGGGATGAATACAAAGTAAGCACCCTAGCTTCCTATTGAATCACACAGTTAACCTTCTACACTTCTCAAATTGACACAATGAACTTGAGAACAAACAAGGACACTGGGTGGGATAGTTGATCTTGACTGACAACTTCACTGGCTGATTTGAGAGTATCTGGGAGGGCCATGGGGATGTGACCTTGGGGACTACATCTGGTCCCTGACTCCTTCCTTTGTTGTGCTCTTCCTTATGATCTGCTTCCCAGCTGCAGTGATCTAAGCATCTCTGAGCTCCAGGTCCTTTTGTCATGATATTGTGGACTTGGAAGCAGCCAACCATGAACTGAACCCTCTGAAATCATTGCCAAATAAACTTCTTTAAGTTGCAAGTGTCAGGTAATTTGTTTTAGCAACGCAAAGTTGACCAATGCACTGGAAAAGTCATATTTTATAATTTTATCTGGCTGATGAAATAATTAATGTCTACTGAAGACACACAGAGTACTTTCATAGAACAGCCTAGTTAAGGAAGATGCAACTCATAGAATCTTTAAGGGCTCTAGCTGGTCATGACTCATCCCATCACTATGGCTCTTGCTTTCACCCTTGACTCCTCAGATACCTAACAGAAGGCAGAGTCTCCCCACCCTACATAAAGACTGGTGGAGGTCAATGATCTCCATTTAGAAAGTCACTCATGATATAACATGTGAAGCAACAGAACACACATAAACACACATACAAGCCCTCCTGGAAGTAGGTATTTTAAAATTTCCCAAGCCCTCAACCTTTGCAAAATAGCAGCTCTCTGTCATTTCAGTCCACAGATACTCTAGACTCTTTTGTTAGCAGTAGCATGAGACTCACTACTACAATATTACCATGCATTTCAAAAATAGCAAAAGAAAAAACTCTGCTTTGACATTCTCAATCTTTTTCTTACCCTGGATCTCCACCATCCCCAAGACATAAATGAGTTTCTAAGTCCTCTTCTTTTTAAAAGAAACTAAATTTTGTTTCACCTGTCAAATATACTTGGAGCTTTGTTCATATAAAGAAATTTATTAGTATTCACACTAATCTGTGCTGTTAGAAGTCACCATAGTGCTTGTCCTGGGGAGGCACTGGCTGGGAAGTTGGCCTTTCTGACCCTACACAGATGACCTCTTTGATGCTGCTGTAGGATTTACGTTTTTTTTTTAAAATGCCTGTTGCTGAGTTTTTAGTTTGTATAGCAAGTTGTACTCTCATGACCAGTGTCTTTTCTGTATGCCAAAAATCTGAATAGATACATTGAGTGCTTAAATGATGATGTGGAACAATAAAATTTTCTACTTATCCACTTGGTCACATCTCTGCTGACTTCACTCAATCCAAAGTAAGAGAGGAGTTATCGCTGTGCACATAAATTTGAATACCAGTTAATAGAGCAGCAGAATAAAAATATGAATAACTACCACCAAACTGCCCCAGGTCTCAGGGCTGCTATGGGATGGTAAGGAACTGCTGAGGGATTAAAAAATGTATCCTGGCAATCTTACATACTAGACAGATGAAAGTGCTAATGGAAGGCTACAAAGTACAGTGCTTCCAGTCTTACAAGTTTACAGGGGCTAACAGGAGTCTTCATGAGCCAGCTGGACCAGCAGCAAAGGCCTGAGCAGTCAGGAACCGGAACATTTCATTTCCATTATTCTCAGAAGCCCTGGGCAATCTTGAACATGGGCAGCATGTAGCCTGCTGGAGGGTATGGGGGAGCTCAGGCCAGACAGGAAGGGGAGAAACAGAGAAGGTAAATGCCCAAGAGCAGAGAGTTGGCTAATCTAGCTAATGCAGGATCTGGAATGGGCCACCCTCTGGGTCTCTCTTCCTCGACTAACTGTTGCTTAAGGAAATATAAAAAGGGAAAGTCAGTGGAGAAAGAGCCCTAGATCCAAAAAGTAGTGAAGATTCACAAACTCTTTCAGCAAATGCATCCCTTAACTGTCAGGCACCCACTCCTTCCCTCTCTTCTTTGTGTTTCCATCTCTCCCTCCTCCCTCTCTAGGTATCTGCCCTCCACCCCACGACCACTTCCCCTTACTCCTCCTTCCCTTTGTCTGTTGGTTGGCTTCCAGAATCAAAGGTGCTGTCTTGGTTCCTTTTCTCTTATTGTTGAGACAAAGTACCTGACAACCACAATTAAGGAAGGAAAGGTTTATTTAGCTCACAGTTTGTGGAGGTTTCAGTTTATACTCAGCTGGCTCCAAGGCAGGGTGCCACATGGCAGAGAGTAACAGTTCATGGTGGCAGAAGCAACAAGAGCAGAAGGGAGGAGCAGCAGTGAGTAAGCCTCTTTCCTTCCCTTATATTGTATGCAGGCTACCCACTCTCTACACCCAGTATAGGGTGGGTGTAGCACTCACACCCATAATCCCAGCATTGGACTGTGAGTCAATCACAAACTCTAGAAGCCTGCCCCACAACCGCATGAGGCTTTTGGGGACATCCAGACACAAACCATAACAAGTGCCTTGAAACAGTGAAGTAAAAAAGGGGAAAGAAGGAGGAGGATTAGGTAGTATGAGGCCATTTTCAGGATGTTTTAACTGGCAACCTCAAGTTTTCATTACTGTCTAAAGTGAAATATACTTAAGGCCCTTATATAGTCTACTATAAAAAAAGAATTTTACAGTAACGCAGTCATTTTACTTACCATGGGAATGAATTTCTTAGACTACTCTTATTTTGAACATAGCACCCACCCACTCTGCAGTAAAGAAATTTAACTTCATGAATGTCAGTACTGTCTCAGCCTACCCTGCAGTCTAAGACTGCATCACTTTAATAAGGCCATGAGAACTCTATAGAGACTTTTAGGAAAGAATGGGCCCAAAATGAGCGAATCCCCCAAATCTACAGTAATAAGTCATGTAGCTGGCTTAAAACTCCAGTAGTTCTAAAGGTGACAGATGTAAGAAGCCATGTTTCAACAACAGGGAGCAAATTATTTATTGTATATTGGTTTATGTTTAATATTTTGGGATTTATTTTTTCATCTTCAATATAAGAACAAGTATAATCTTCCTCAGAGGCATGACTTTAAAAATATAAAATACATTTTGAGACAATTACATTTTGGGCCATACATTACTGATGTTACTGATAATGCTGGTTTTCTGTGATGACAGTATTGTGGTGATCTAGAGGGCTATCTTTGTTCACATGAGATGCAAACTCATGGATTATTACAGATGAAGCATCATGTTTGCAATTTACTGTCAAGTAGTTCATCAAAACTACACATATACACAAACACACATATATGCACAGTAACAAATATTGAGAAGGATGACTAACATTCCATCTCCATGGAAGTCTAAGAATTGGTATCACTTTTTGCAGCAGAGGTCTAAGAGGAGAGTGGCCAGAATAGGGAAGATTGGCTGAAATTCTTTGTAATTCCTTCCGTTTTAGCTTTGTGTAGTCAGGCCCTGAACCAAGAGAAAGCAGAAAATTTATTACTGAGGAAAGGTGAAACACACCAGGTCTAACTGGCATCAATAAGGGTTCCCAATAATAGGTGTCTTTATTGTTGAGTGTCAGGATACTTATTATGCACATGGTTATTAATTGAATATTTATGTATTGATGTTAGGCATTCCTGCCTTCTTTTCCACCTGGCTCTGAAAGCCAGCAACCAGCCTCTGTCTTCTAGGAGACTGCATGGAAGACACCTCTTCTTTAGGAATCTGAGTAGCCTATGAGGGAATTCCTAAAGATCAGAGGGCAGCAAGACCATGTGGTACTTAGAAATCTGGATGTATGCAGCAAAGGAGGTCACTGGGAAAGAATAATGAGGAATAAGGGACCAGGACACCACTAGGTTTTTAATGTTTTTCTTGGTAACAAATCTCTGTCTGCCATCCACCTGTTCCTCCCATATCTATATAGCAAAATTTTTAAATATAAAATTTTATATATAACTGTTAAGAAAATAATATATACTCATTTTTTAAAAATGGAAATATTGTGAAACATTTTGTTTACCAAATTACTATATTTTTAAAAAATTCTTTATCAAAGTACAGGTAAATTAAAGAAGTGTATCATTAGATATATTAACCTAAAACATTATTCATTATGATATATTAACCTGAATAAAACATATTCATTAGATATATTAACCTGAAACATTTTGTTTACCAAATTATTATATTTCTAAAAATTCTTTATCAAAGTACAGGTAAATTACAGAAGTGTTTCATTAGATATTTGAAAAATATGAAGGAATCTGCTTTAACATTAAATGATTAGTACATTTAGGTCTACATAATAACTTCCCTAGCACACAGAAGTGCTGACTCCCAAGTGTCTGGGCCAGTTTCATTTTAGAACCATTGTGCTAACAGAGTATAAAGTACTCACCAGCTCGAGTGGACTGAGACGGGTGCCAGAGATGGGCCTGCAATCAGATGACTCAAAACTGGATGCATGGAGGCTGACATAAGAGATAGTGCAGAGTTATGGTTTGTGAAGAATTATTTCTTTTATTTCTAGCATGAGTTAGCTAACTGTTGCTGAAAAACAAGTAAAAGCATTTAACTCATAAGACTTGAGAAAATAGCAATTTAAAAATGCTATAGTACTTAAAACATTTTATTAACAAGCCTTTTACTACTTTGGGCAAAATTTTTAAAATGCTAAATAATGAAAAGAAATCTATACAGTGATTTTCTTTTCTTTTTTGGTGGGGGGGGGGTCTGTTTTTGAGACAGAGTCTTGCTATGCAGTTCCAGCTGGCCTTGAGCTCACTTTGTAGCCCAGGCTGGTCTCGAACTCACAATGATCCTCCTGCCTCAGCTTCCTGAGTGCTGGGATTACAGGCGTGTGCCACCACACCCGGTTCTATATAGTGATCTTTTTAAAACTTTGTATCACTTCACAAAGTTGGTATGACAATCACCACTGACCATTTTATTTCAAAATAACTTCCTGGACCTAACGTTTAGACTTGCCTCTAGAAATCTTTAACAAAAGTCAAACTTAAAAAATAACTATCTTGAAATCAATTAACATAATCCATCACACCAACAAGTGAAAGAAGAAAAATCATATCAATAAATGTGGAAAGTGCACTTGATAAAACCCAACAGCAGTCAAAACTCTCAGGGAATTAGGGTTAGAAGGAAACTTCTTCAGTTCAATAAGGAATATCTAAAAACACCATACAGACCATATTGTGCTGCACAATGAGAAACTTAAAGCTTTCTAACTAAGATTAGCAACAAGGTAAGAATGTCCCCTTTCACCACAGCTTTTCAGTATCATACCGGAAGTCCTAGGTAATGCAGTAAGACAAGAAAAGCGAGTAAAAGGCATATGGATTGGGAATAAAACAAAACTTCATTTGCAGATAGTATGATCATCTATGTAGAAAATCCTAAGGAACTGACAAAAGACTCCTAGAGTAAGTGACTAGAGCAGGGCTACAGGATCAATACAAAGAAGTCAGTTGCTTCTCTATATACCAGAAATGAACAAGTAGAAATTGAAAACAGTAACACAAAATCATGAGAATTTGCATCCCCTTCAATGAAATATGTAAACACAAATCTAACAAAATATATACAACATCTGTATGAAAGAGATGGTAAGAATCAGGAAAGAAATCAAAGAATAAACAGTAAGAGAGGCATTCCACTTTCATGGCTAGGTTAGACTCATATTGTGAGGATATCAGTTGGTCCCAATTCAATCTAAAGTTTAATGTAATCTTAATAAAAATCCCAAATAATTTTGTAGATATCAATAAATGAATTATAAAGTTAATGTGGAGGAAAAAAGGACCCAACATAGTCAACACAACATTGAAAGAAAAGAACAAATTCAGAGGACTGAGAATACCAGACTTCAAAACATACTATAAAGGTACTGTAATCATGACTTTGTGGTACTGGTGAAAGAACAAACAAATAGACTAATGGAACAGAATGCAGAGCCCAGAAATAGACCCACACAAATACAGTCAATTGATCTTTGACAAAGGAGCAAAGGCAGTACAAATTTTTTAACTTACAATGGTGTGATAGCACAGGTTGAAAATTTTGTGATCAAAAATGCATTTAATATAGCAGTACTGTATGCTGTAGGGTATGGGTTGTTTGCCCTCATGATCATGTGGCTGACTGGAAACTACAGCATGCCAATTCTGCCAGCATCACAAGAGAGCATCCTACAGCATATGGCTATGCCAGGAAAAGATCAAAATTTAAAGTCCCAGTTCTATGGCATATATATCACTTTCACATGCTTGTAAAATACAAAATTGTTAAGTTGATCAGGGACTTTGTACACTACAGAAAGATAGCCTTTGACAGATGGTGCTGGAAAAATGAACATCTACATGCAGAAAAAGGAAACTAGATGCAGACATCACACCTGTCACAAAAATTAACTATAAACCTCCTACAGGATAACAGGAGAAGGTCTAGATTACCTAGAGTAAAGTGATAACTCTTGTACAACATCAAAGGCATGCTCCTTGAAAGAAAGACTTGGTAAGTAGGACTTAGCTAAAATTAAAAATGTCTGTTCTGTGATAGACTCTGTCAAGACAGCAAGAAGAAAAACCACAGACTGGTAGAAAACATTTGCAAAAGACACACACAGTACAAGATAAAAGATGGTTACTCAAAATACTCACAAAATTATGAAAATTCAATAATAAGTCAGATGTGATGGCCTACGTCTATAATCTCAGCACTTGGGAGGCTGAGACAGGAAGACTGTGAGTTTGAGGACAGTCTAGAATACAGAGAGAGAGACCCTGACTCAAAACCAAAACCCAAATAATGACAATAACAAAAACAGCAACATATTTCAACAATAAGGACACAAACAACTCAAATAAAAACTGGGTCACAAACCTTAACAATGCCAGATCAATGAAGACATACACACAGACAAAAGATGTTCCGTATCACATGTATCATCAGGGAAATGCAAATTAAGAGAAGAGATAAGCACTACATGGCTATTAGGATGGCCAAACTCCTGACTACTGACAACACCAAATGCTGGTGAGGCGATAGAGAGGAACAGGAACTCTTATTCATGCTGGTGGAAGTATGAAATGGTACAGCCACTTTTGATGACAGTTTGGTGATTTTTTTACAGAACTAAAGACACTCTTACCATACAATCCAGCAACTCTCTTCTTACTATTTACCTGAAGGAGATGAAAACTTATGCTCATATAAAAACTTGTACATTGATGTTGATAGCCTCATTTGTAAATCCTAAAACCTGGAAGGCACTGAAATGTCTTTCAGTAGGTGAATGAGTAAACTGTGGGACATCCAGACAATGGAACATCATTAGGCACCAAAAAGATACGAGCTGTCAAATCATGAAAAATCACAGAGGAAACTTACACACATTTTACTAAGGGAAGGAAGACAGTTTGAAAAGGCTACACTGTGGGAGACCAGATAATGAGAATTGAGGCCTCACTGACAAAGGCGGAAAACAGCTGTGTTTACTTTTCCCTAAAACCTGCAAAGTACCATCATCCCTATATGTTGCCAAAGGAATACAAATTACTGTTTTTCTCCTTTGTCAACAGGTAATAGGAGGCAGATGAATCTTCTGCTAATCACTTGTACCCTTGTCTAAGTGAATAAAAGCAAGGTGAGGAAGACAGTTGGGGCTCTTTGTCCACTAGAGGTAAGAGTTCCCTGGCTGCCGCATTCTACACTAACTCTGTGTGTTTGTCTTTCATCCTTGTTCACCCTTGGGTCAGGGGACAAACTAACAAGTACTTTAGCTAAGTCTAACTTACCAAGTCTGTCTAGGTCCTTACAAGTGGCACCCGAACAGGAACCTGACCAGAGTAGGCTGGTTTCCTATACTACATATTGCATAACTCCTATTATGTGACCTTCTAGAAAAGACAAAACTATGGAGACAATAAAAAGATCAGTAGTTGCCAGGGATTAGGAGAAAGGGCAGATAAATAGAGCAGAATTAAGGCAAAATGTAATCTGATGACCTAAGTGTACCTGAAAGTAAGATGTCATATACCTGAAGGATGAAGGAGGCCTATTTTCTGGTGTTCTTGATGATGCAGGTCCAAATAGTTTCCTTTGGTCTTCCTGGGGTGTAAATGGTCTTTGGGTTCTAACTGTTCTTAATGCATTTCGTGCTTCACTTATGATTTCTGCACTGGTCTTCTGCTTGGACACTGAAGGTCGGTAAAATGGATCCATTTTCTCTAACTTCTTATCATTTGAAGACAGCATCTTTCCTTTTCAAAGTAAGATGGTTTTCAGACACCACACCCTGCAAACATAGTGCAATAAATGTCAACTGTTGCTATCCAGTGCTTTAGAAAGGAGTGCTTAAGCCCTTTCATATATTAAACCATTATTTTATATTAAGCTTGAAAAAAAAAATGAACAATTTTTAGTTAAAAATCCAAACAGGGTAAAGATGCAAGAATAGCTCTCAAAAACATGGGCCACACAGTTGTGCCAATGTGTGACTAAGGAAGAGATACACAGGGAAGAAACCCAAGACAAAGGAAGAGAGAATCATTTTGCTTTTGGGTGGGGGTAGTATTGTGAGTCGAACCTGGGGCCTCATGCATGGTAGGCAAGCACTCTCCCACAGAGCTCCACCTCCAGCCCATATCTCATGTTCAACCTGTAAGAAAACTAGGGGATTGCTTAAAATTTTAAACTAAAGTTTCCTTTTCTTTCACTAAATTTTAGAGAGATGGGGCCTCTTCCAAACTACATTTGCTTTGCAACAGACCTCTGGGAATGGCTTGGCCCCATAATTGTCCATGATAGTTCTGAATTAGTTGATTCAAATCACCTTTGATTTGGGACAGTGTCCTAGATGAATACATACCAAGTATCAATATAAAATATTCCTTTCCCAGTCACCTTGCTCAGCTAAAGAGTTAAAATTATGTACAAAGGCCACAAGAATGCAGGTCCTTCTCAAATGTTGGTATATTCCATGAAGAACAATCTGGCTTTAACACAGTCCAGATCTTTTTTGAGTTTTATTCAATTTTTGTTTTTTATTAGTACATGATGATTACAATCATCATGAGGACCTGGTACATGTACTAATACATTAATTTCTTTTTCATCCCTTTCTCCCTTTCCTCCGTCTCTTGGTCTACTTCCCCTTTACAAAAGATCTACTGTCCTTAAAATCATCCAGATTTTTAAAAATTTAATTCTAATTAGTATATCATATTAGGTATTCATTCCTTTAAAAAATCTTTAACCTTAAAAAATAAAAAGAATTTCTAACCCTATTAAAAATAGTACACCTCTAGAGACAGAAGCCTAAATTACTTACAGATTTCAGCTACCCAATTTTAGAATGGGTTTTACGAAAAAGAAAATATTTTGTGACATATGTCAAAGGAAACTAATAAGTAGAATGAACAGGTAACTCTTTAAAATAGATTTACTACATAATGATTTTACATAACAACAAACAAGAATATTTGTTTAGTTCTAGCCAGGCGCAACCCCAAGAGTTGTCAAGAAACAGACCTGGATGAAAACTACAAGCAATATGTCACTCTTTTCATACGAAAAGGCCAGGTGTTGCAATAAAATGGAGAAAAGTTAGTAGGTAAGCAATGCTATGTAAGAAGCTACTTATACAAGATTTTGAACTTAAGCAAGGTTTCTAGAATTACGTACATGTTAACACAGATGTTAAAAAATAAGGGTAGACCTAGTACATTTTACTTCTGATACTTCTGACATGATTGGCTTTTCATTTTAAAACATTTGATATGATTTATTTTTAAATATACAAAATCTTTGAGGTATATGCACATACACTCACATGCATTGAGTGCAGAATATAAGTTCAGCCAGCAACACCTAATTTCAGTGGTCACGACAGGTTTGTTGTTTTGTTTATAAAAGACCCACTGCAGGGCTGGGTGTGTAACTCAGTGGTACAGCATGTACTTAGCATGCAGAGGTCATGGGTTTGACACCCACTACTCCCTAAAGAAGAACAACTGCCGTGCAAAATTGTAACCCTTAATGAGAAGAGGTTTCTTCTGTAGCCTAATCAAGTCTGCTATGCCTTTGGCCTCACTAACACTGACAAGTCTAGCAATGTCCAAAGGAAATCTCACAAACCTAATAAAGATTAAAGAAAGTGCTTTAGGGAGTAATAACAGACTCTCATTGTTGACCCAATGGACTCGCTCTGGTTCTCTTTATTTTGCATTGAAAAGTATTCTACTTTGAAGAGTAATGAAGCAGGGATATTTACTCTGGTCGCATGCTAAGAATTCTGTGAATTATCCAGGCCCACAGGAATTTAGGCTGACCAAGTAAGAGTGGACGCGATGTATATAATGGCCTCAAAATATTTTTGTCTGTAAAATTTTTCCACAAGGTCTAGTTTAGCTTTCTGTATCCTATTTTCTCTTTCCTCCAAATTTCACTTTAACATTTATTTGATGAGAAAATGGTATAAGAGCTATACTGTTAATTATCATTATTAATATATTCTTAACTGACTCAGTCATGAAAATGTTTAATAGTACAAGTAAGTGGTTAAAAGTAGAGTTCTTTAGGGGGTAAGATTGTTTATCTTGTGCTAGTTAAATTACACATTATTACAGGCAGTTTTTTTTTTTTTTTACTAAATTGAAAAATAAACATTTAGCATTTGAAAGCCTGTCTACTTAAAATAAAGCATCCTTGAACCATGACACAATATTACCACAGAAATGTTAACCTTACAAAATTTTCCTGACAACAGGAACAAATGCATTCAACTAGTATTGATCAACTATTTCCTAGTGAAGCTCCCTCTGCTTGGCCCTCTAGGAACACAGAGAAATAAAATATTGCCATGATTTTCAGCAAGATAGACCCCTAATACCATTTATTTTAATACCAAGCACATCGTCTCAGTCCCTACGGCAATTCTTTGAGGTGGTCAGAGTCTTACACACACCCTCTCTGCAGAGGTGATATTCAGAGGATTCCCTGCTAGATGGTGTGGTGGGAGATAGGACGCCATGGGCTGCAACTGTTTACTCACTCCCTAGAGTCACATCAGTACTTTCACTAGGGGAACTTTCTTGGTGTGCATCAGCTGAATCTCAGCCCTGCTTGTATCAGAATGATTTTAGTACAAGGAAGAAACTGAGGCAGGAATAGAAATAAAGATAAATTACAATGTGATTGCAAAGGAGGAAGAGAGGGCATCTGGCAGGTATTAGTTGAACTAAGTTCTGAACAATGGGCTGAATTTGAACAAGCAGCAGTGGCTGGCATTGGGGTTGTAATAGAGAAGGAAGTTCCAGCAAAGTCCACAGACGAGCAGAGGACTAATAGGAAGAACACATGGGGTGTGCGTGGGGAAGAGTGAACCCTAAAAACAAAGACTGGAGCCAAACCAAGGAGAGAATCAAATGTCATGTAAAGAAATAAAAGCCAATAAACAAATTTAAATAACCGATACAAGCCAGCTATGGTAGCACATGCTTGAAATCCCAGCACTCTGGGAAACTGAGGCAGAACAAAGGGAAGGGAGGGAGGGGGAGAGACAGTGAGAGGGAGGCAAATATAGTTCAATGCATAGGTCCTAGGTTGAAAAAAATAAGATGTGATCTGCTAAGGAAAGATGGGCAGGAAGGAAAGAAAGACTAGAAGTGACAAAATTGGCAGGTTCTTAGACCACCACTCACCTAACTCAACTCTTAAGAGGTCACTTGTTCAAGGAACCTTTCCTCTGCCACCCTCCTAGCCTGAGATTAGTGTCCTTCATCCGGATTCCACAAGGTCCCCTGCTGGTCTCTGTCTCTCCCTCTTCCCACTGTCAGAAGTGCTCCTGCACCTAGTGATGTCCCGCTGGAGTCTGACCCTCAACCTTCCATGGGAGGGGCAGGTGAATGCCAACACCTGCACAACAGCTCAACCCCAGGGTCAAGTACAGACTTGAGCTAAGGCATTTCCAGGCGAGGGCTGCATGGCTTCTTTAACTGGAGATACCTGCTGCAGAGGTTACAAAAGTCCATCGGACTTTGTTTAAAATGGCGTCGATTTATGATGCCACATGGTCATATGAGTTCAAATTTAGCCCCTTTCCCTTCTTGACTTTACTTAGGCTGATGAGCAAGGAGCAGGACTTGATTCACGCTGCTCCTGGGAAGCGTACAGGACAAGGGTGAAGTGGGTACAGGAATAAGAGGAGAGAAGAGAGCTGGTGAGGTGCATTGAGAACCAAGAAACTAACAGGACTTCTCATCCCGGAAGACAGGAAGCGGCCGGGGTGACACTGGGCATGCAGACCTAGGAACACTGGAGAGAGTGAGCAAGAGAACCTTAAAATGAGCAGGAAGGGAAGCAGATCATGAAGGGGGAGAAGAGCGTGAGTTCTGTCTTGCATTCTGAGCCTGTGGCACACACAGGCCTCTAGAGAAGGGCTGTCACCAGCAAGAAGATATTCAGAACTTTTTTTAAAGGATAGTATTTCTTATTGGTTTCAGGGAAAACCCAGAGTCATCATTTACAGAACTTCATACCTAATTATAAGAAGTTGTCTTTACTTTTGCTGCTAATACCCACCAGAAGAAAAACCTTTACGCTAAAGGAAATTCTGTGCTCTCAGGGTGTTAGCCACAGGGCACAGGCTGGGCACCTTCACACTTTTCCCTTCAAGTTAAATACTCAGTCCCCTTTCCAGGGCTTGCGTTACTTTTTGTGACTATAAGCCTGCAATGGGGCAGTGGTAAAGAGTTTAGATGCTGTGGAAGGGTCCAACAATGCCCCAACAATTCAAGTCTCTGACTGTGGGAAAGGCCTGCGTAAAACTCTAAGCCTGTTTCCTCTTCTGAACTATTGAGAGTAGTAAGAATCATCTCAGGGTTGTTTTGAGAGTTAAGTAAAATGATTCGTCTAAAGTGCTGTAGCATGGTGTCAGCTCATTAGAAAACATTAACAAACTACTGTCCATGGGCTAACTTAATAAAGGAATACAGAAAAATTTCTCCAGTGAATGAAACTTCATTTTAAAAAGAAAGGAAACTGCAAAAACGAGAATTTTTTTTTTTTTTTGGTCTTTTTGAGACAGGGTCTTGCTCTGCAGTTCAGACTGGCCTTGAGCTCACTTTGTAGCCCAGGCTGGTCTCCAACTCTCAACGATCCTCCTGCCTCAGCCTGCCGAGTGCTGGGATTCCAGGTGTGTGCCACCAGGCCCAGCAAAAAACAGAATATTTGTTCTGTGTTTTCATTCATTTCATAAGTTTTAGAATTTAAATCAGGGTACTTTATGAAAACAGAGAAATTTATTAAGTATTTTATTGAACATGACTATGCCAAATGTCTTATAAATTCACAAAACATAATATAAACATAATATAAATAAAGACCAGAGCTTGTTTTTCTACCAAGTTAAAAGGATTCTTGGGGTCGGGGATTTAGTTCTGTGGCACAGCGCCTGCATGGCAAGCATGAGGTCCTGAGTTCAATTCCTGGTCCCCCTTCCAAAAAAAAAAGAATGCTAAACGGGGATGGGATACTGTGATACTGTGGGAATGGATCATCAAAGGCAGTTTGTACATGTCCATGTATTTTACCGAATGGCGAATACTGTTACACATAGTTTATTTATTGAGGCTCTATCTGTTGCCTAGAAGAGCCCAGGAACAGTCTGCGTGACTGGCCACATCACCTGCCCAGACAAAGCCCCTCAGTCTACCACCCGCTCATTCAACAAATATTATTGAGCTTCTGTTAAGTACCAAGCCGCTGTTCAAGAGCTCAGGGCATAGAAATAGATGGCTGCGCCGGACCGATTCATCGCCTTTTGATTAAGGGCAGAAAGGCGGCAGCCTGCAGGACGCGCCCCCAAGAAACCCGGGGGACCGCTCACCTCCCGCGCAGATAGCGGCTCCCATACTCCCGGCAATGCCCACTGGACCACAGGTCCAGGCCAGGGCCCGGCCCGGCGGCAGCATCCTCACCGGGTCGCCCTCCTGAGCTCCCGCTTAGCCCGGCCCGCCGACGTCTCCATGGTAACCGTACACAAACCACCTCCCGCCCGGGCGCCAGCCTGCAGTCCCGGGCCGCCCCTGGACAGGTGGAGGACAGAAGAATGAGTTTGGAGTGGCCTCAGAGAAGGGGCCTGCAGATCTGACCCAAAGTACCTGTGACAGCGCTGGAGGCAGAAACCCCGGCGGAGTTCAGCTCATCTTTCACGTCCCGGCTTCCGCGGCAAAGGAGAGGGCGGGCGGAGTAGCCCGCGGGCGCTGCTCTGCTACTGCGCCTGCGCCTCCCCGCCGGCGCATGCGTAGAGTGCGGAGGCGTGGCGGCCGCAGGTGCTGGAGTACAGGAAGCTGGGGCGGAGAGGCCAGGAAAGTCTGTGGAAGGCGTCTTCTCTTAAACCAGCAATGTGCCAGACCGTGTCTGCTGAGCCCCTATGAAATCCCTGCGCCACTATTAAATTGCAGTCGGCAGGACAGCAGCTATAATGTTTGGAATAATAATTAGGATTTACTGCTTCCACTTGTGGCTCTGTATATCTTGGAGCCAGAGGCTGAACCTCTCAGTGTCCTCATCCAGTAAGCGGAGGCGTGTATGTAGCAGTCACTAGCTTCGTCTTGAGCTTTTATGGAGATTGGATGAGTAGATCTAAAGCGCTATGCGTGTGGCTATCAGTGTTCAGCTGCCGGCTATAAGTAAGTCCTTGCGTCTGTGCAGCGCTTCAGGATTTACAAAGCGTGTTCACGTAGCTCTTAGAGAGGCTTTGCAACTCCTGAGGGGCAGCTCTGTTCACAGGAGAGGACCTCGGGGGTCTAGTAAGTGGCAGGGCGAGATTCAAGCCTAGCTTCCCCCTGCCTAGTCTTTTGGTTTTTTTCATACTGGATCATTATGGTTGAATGTTAAAAAGAACCCCATTTTTTTGTTTCTACTTTTAATTTTGTTCTCTTAGATCGTTCAGCAACACTTTGCAGTGTTAAATACAAGTGAGACCCTAATCACTCGCCACTCAGGTTTGCACCACGATGTATAAAGATAGAGATTTTTCAGCTTAAGTGTTGTTGTCAACATTGGAAAAATGCCACATCCGTTGGTGCTAAGTGTCTTGTAAAGAATAATTAATTGGAAAATATTTTTGAGCACATACTACGTGCTTCGTAAGAAGTGATATCTGAACTAATGGAATGCAAACATCCTTCAAAGTATCCAATAGGATTTCACATGTGACAGACAATAAATGATTGGTTGATTTGATTTTAGGACCTGATACAAAGTATTTGTGTTCTTCAGG